ATGGTCGACTCCTGATAAGATGATCTTTTCATCTAAAGACAACATTTTCTTGTCAAAGCAGCCCGAGATTCAATGTATTGCAGCAACAATAAAACTTCTGGTTTTAACTTAGACTCGTATATTTTTATGACCCCGTCTGTTTTCTTTTCTTTTTTCTCGTGTGAATCAGCAATATGGTAAAAATAACTGCCATTCTGCCGTGGTAAAGAAAAAAAACCGTATGAGCATTTGAAATTTGCCAGATTTCTGAAGATAAAATATTTATTCTGGAGGAAGTTATAATTAGGACTCCTTGAAATTTTCAGATACTTTCAGGTAATTTGGGAATAAAATCCTCTGAACAATTGGTAGAAACATATTCACAAATTTTCCTAAAATACCGGATTTTATTAAAGGAAATTTGGAAACGCCTGATGGCTCATACGACGCTCTTCCTTAGCACGCCAGTATTCTTCACGTGCGATTTGCAAATGCTTTTTCCAAGTGCTGGCACACACATCATGTCGTCACTAAAACGGACGCGTTCAAATCAAAAGGAGCTACATCTATTGTGGCACGAGCCGTGTTATACTTGATTTCTCACGGGTCACAGAGCTCAGATCAAAATGGATGTAGTTCCTTTTGACTTACGTACGTCCAAATCTACGTGACTCCCGACCAAGACAGCAGCGACGCACAGTGGATCGAGTCGGTCAGAGAGGTCGGACATTAATTTTTTTACTAAAACTGCAAATTTTGATATTTAATTCGTCACATTTAAAGCTTGCAGGGGTGCATCTAGGAGGTAATTTCACAAGAAAACCACTGGAACCACCATTAAAACTTCAAAATATTGTATCAATGGAGTTATGAGCTTTCAAAAATTCCAAATTTTATCCGACCTCCCCCATTAACTCGATCCACTGTGCGACAATTTGGAATCAGTGCGGGATTTTATCGCCACGGATCACGTATACTCACGGTTTGCACCTCCTTCCGTGCCACGAAAAGAGGTAAATGCTCACACGGGAGCGACGGGAAGTGGGGGCGTCGCTGTCGAGGGAGAGGGGGGCGAATCCCAGGTCGGGGACACGGGTAGGGAGCAAATTGTGGGAATTGGGCAGTGAGTCCGATTTTAATTTTCTCTTTTTAATTCGTCGCTGGACTCGTTGTCGGTGTCGACGGTCTCGCTTCGCTCCGGTGCCCCCCCTCCCCCGCCCCCGCCTCCAAGTCCCCCCGATTTACACCTCTCGGTGAAGGAGGAGGGTAACGACTTCCTGTGTCGGTGCTTTGGTTTTACTCTGATTTTTCTCGCGGTTTCTACCCCTCGAGGCTATGCATGCAGTGCTCAAGTATTGCTTTTTATTTCGCAGGCACGATATAGCCGCAAGTCAGGCTCAAGGATAAGCAGTGAAGAGTTACTGAACTGTAAATTGATCCAGTTTTCCATGCAAAGAAGTTAATTTTGCCAATCGGAAGTTAATTCAGTAGCCTAACAGTGAAAGATACTTCAGCTCATATTTAACTCGAAACTTTCCGATCGAGGTAACCGAAGTAACGTTCATAGGAACCGAACTTCAGATCACCGAAGTTCATCTTAGTCATGTTGACACTCGTTTTGATTACGGACGACTTTAAATTGTATTGTAGCTCTCAGAGTATTCAATGCAAATTTACAATATTTCTTTAAATTTTGCGGTATGTGCGTGTTCCATATTGAAAAATTGGAGGCGTTTCCGCTTCACCTTTTATAGTAGCGCCTTAATGCAACTATTCGTGTTCCATGGATGTGCGTGCTGCGTGTTCAAAATTTAAGGCACTTTTACTTTTTTCACTTCTCTAGAAACGTACGGGACTTGTATACTTGTTGGTTGTAGCATCCTACAACACAGTGCCTTTTCAGGGAACGTATTAACAGTTATGGACAAGAGGCCGGAATACCGAAGGTCAATATTTGAATCGGTCATTCTTATAAGAACGCTTAAGTATCACAAATGAAAGCACGAGAAACACATTAGAAACCGTAGTAATTGATCCATCTTGGATCGTAAATTGCATGATAATGTCAATAAATAGTTCATCGCTTCAACATTTCAAAGTTCTGAAATTTAAAACAGGTTGATTTAAACGGTTTTTACTGTTTTTCTTAATGATCATTTCTGGCACCTCAGTCTTTTTCAAAATGGCCTATTCAAATTGGTGATTATATCGACCCACAAATACCACACTAATTTTGAGTTGGTTGCGGCGCGGCGCCTTGATGCAACTATTCGTGTCTTGCGGATGTGCGTGTTGCTTGTTCGAAATTGAAGGCTCTTTCGCTTTTCTCATCTCTTCAGACATTCATGGGAGTTGTCGTTAGGTAGCACCCGAATAACAGAGTTATAAGCATAGGAACTGGGTGTTGCATCTCAATCCTTTCACTTGAATCTAAGTACCGCTCCCTGCTTGGTCAACGAATTTCAGGCTTTCATGGATTTTCTGATTTGTAACTTTTAGAATTATTCCGGTATAAATGTGACGCTTTATTCGCCAAGAACTATCATTTTCCTGTTATTTCATGCGTCTCTCCCTCGGTAAAATGAATTTCTTTTGATCTGCTCTGTTTACTTGGATACTGGGTTTGTGACAACAAAGAAAAAACCCTCCCAAAAAAATCTCAAATCTTCATCAAAAACTTGACTGTGATTGATTATACTTAAAAAGGGTTGGATTTTTCTTGAGTAATGGAAGAAAATAAATAATGACGCTGCAATGCAGAAACTTGTTTGAAACCTAAACCCTACCACGCTAATGCGCCGACAATTTTACCTCATTCAAAGCAAGTCGATCCGATTTTTTACGATCCGTGCCAACTTCCTCAATGGGTCAATGACTCGTTACAAATTACACACAGTAGCCGCCAAGGATTTCATTTTCTTGACTGGTGGATGTGGCTTGCACGACTTAATGGGTTAGTTTGAGGGAGTGAAGGGTGCAATGGTAGCTGTAAGTGGTGGTAATTAGACCTCTAATTTCTCTTATCGAGTTATAATCTGGTGTAAGCGTCGTTGACTCCCACAGAAAAATTCTCAGTCCCTATTCAGGGTGGTTAGATGTGATATCTCATGTTTCTCACCAGATTCTTTTATAAATGTCATTAGTTATATTTAAGCGTCAATTAAAAGATACTCCGGATAAAGAACACTCTAAGTGATAGGTACTCCTTGAGTTTCTTTGATGGGATATCTTACTCTCGTTTTTCAACAGTGTTCACATATCTCCCATCGTTTTGTTTTTTTTTTTTTATTTATTTTGAGTTTGATGGAATCAAGAATGACACTGATGAAAGTTTATAAAGTCAACAATTATAAAAATTAGGGAGCAAAATATCGATTTATCACTTGCACCAATTATGCAAGATATAATGTGCATGAATTTTGGCTTTGATAATTTTTCCCGTCAGATGTTATTTTCAATATTTTCACGAGTCTGCGAAATACCTAAGAGCCTCGTGAACATTCCCTACGTTGTCCCCTGCTGTTTTTACAATGTTACGAAGTGAAATAATTAACGATCAATGTTTTCAAAAAGTGCACAAGCGTTTGGGCGAGATCATTTTTTACACAAACTTTTTTATACAAACTGCACTGAGGATTGGCCCAACACGGCCGAAACGCTTCTGCAGTTGCCTTTCTGAATGATTGTTACTAGTGTTGCANGCACTATGTAGAAGCAAGGTATCGTTCGTTCTATTGTGCCCGACTAATCACCGAGCAAACCCCGCACCGTACAGAGGGTTGGTTATGAGCTCCGCGGCGCGGCGGCATCTTACGCCGGGAATCCGCTCCTGGACCTCGGGGAAAACCACCGCGGAAAAATGCGAAGGGAGTATGCGTTGCCTCGAGGTGACTTGTGGCCCTCTGTGCGACGCATGTGAGAGGCGACGAGATGACAGGTGACGAGGGTCGAGGCACCCCAACCCGCCAAATAGTGCTAATTACTCTGATTTTCCAGGGCTCTTCGTATCTGGGACAGACTATAAAAGTGAAATAATTAACGACCAATGTTTTCAAAAAGTGCACAAGCGTTTGGGCGAGATCATTTTTTACACAAACTTTTTTATACAAACTGCACTGAGGATTGGCCCAACAAGGCCGAAACGCGTCTGCAGTTGCCTTTCTGAATGATTGTTACTATAGTGTTGCACCAAACAGCGTATCTTTTAGAGGGAAAATTGTGCTTGTGTGTGAGCTTTTTTTCTCTATAGTGAGATATCAGCTTTATGCTTAATTTAACGCACGATGGCTAAAAAACTCCAACATACCATCATTTTTAGCTACATTTTGAGACACCAATGCTACAATCTGAAGACTTTGCAATACATAGGAAAAATTTCGCCATTTATGTGATTTTTAGGTTAGATTCGCAATTTTTACATTACGGCGCGGCGTCTTTACAGCGCTCCCATGTGGAATTGGATAATACTAAAAACAAGAGAGTGCGTATTTCATATTTTAGAATGCGGCCGAGTCGCTAACTCATAATAGCCAAAATTTTTTATGGGTATTATTTGGACTGAGTTAAGCAGAAAGGAACCAACCCACATTTTGGAAAAAATTGAGTTATGAGTGGATTTGAACTCAACCACTCCTCCACTATCTATTGCCTAAAATTCGAAGTTTTTGTTGGAGAAAATTTTACAGAAATTGAGCTTGAAGTTTATATTTTACATTGAGTCTTATACAGGAGCCAAACTTTAAACCTCTTTTTTCTCGGTTCGATCCCAATGTGGCTTGGTTCCTTTCTATTTAACTCCGTCCATTTCTCAGCTCTCGATATGCTTCATTTAAACTACCCAAGTTCAGCACTATCATCGGCAACTTTCAACCATATGACGTCATAGCGCCTCCGATATCGCGCGGCGCCACGAGTCATGCTTCCCACCGCCAGAGAGCGGCGCGATATTGCGCGTTACCTCCCGCGCCCTTGCGCCGACCGTCTCCCACCTGGTTCTCCATCGCATGCGATATCGGACTCCGGATTCAGTACGTGAGCGGCACTCGTGCGCGTTGCCTCCGACTCGAGCTTTTTTAAAAGGCCGTTCGCGTGTTGCCTTTTCCCCCACTTTATCCGACGTTTGCCCCCTCCCCCCTTCGAGCAAATGAAGATTGGAATCATGGACGAGCCGGCGTTCAACATCAAGTTCGTGGAGATAGTGAAAAGGCACCCGTGCCTTTACGATTTCACCAGCCCGGACTACAGCAAGCGCGAGGCGAACGACCACGCGTGGGCTGTTGTCAGCTCGGAGATGAAAATGTCAGGTGAGGTCAGATCATTAATATTTTAGCTTTTTACAGGGTGATCTAGGGGTTATGCTTTTGAGCTGAAGTCGGAGTAGTTGTATCACGTCTTATACTATCAGCTGCCGAGTTAATCACTGATGATAAGAAGAAACACCCAAAATATGACCCGAAGTATATGAAGGGAATAGGATAAAGGAATATTCACGACACTGCGAGGCAATCGGGGCCAAAAGTTTATATTAAAGTAAAAATATGAACTCATATGAGTATTAGTTAAATTATCGTTTTTACAATTAAAATTTTTCTTCGGGCCTTGGCCCATCGAACATTTTCTCCGACGCAACAAAAAAGTGTCAAAGAAACAAAGTTTGTTTGGTGTGATGAGTCCAATTTTCCTCAGCGCGTAGCCTCTTATGGAAGTCGGAGTTTTTTAGCCATCGTGAGTTAAAGTTCAGCTTAACGCTGATATCTCATTATAGAGGGAAAAAGCTCATACGCAAGCACAATTTTCCCTCAAAGAGGGAAGTGGTTTTATCACTAAATTTTCTGCGCTGGAGGTGACGTGGAATGACCACGTCTGAACATCCTTTTCGAATGAAATGTTCTACGAAATCAGTGAAGTCTCATTTTAACCTTCTCCTTCTTTACATGGTGCTCAAATCGAACACAGAGGAGAATTTCCAGGTGTCGGAAATTTTTAGGTACCTATTTAATGCTTAAACACTGCCGATAGAAGTGAGCATGAGAATATCCTTAGTCTCTAAAATTAACGATTGTCAGAGAAGATGTGACCAAATGACCTAATCAGATAAATACATGTGTTTAAATGGGAAATGTCACGTGATGACTCACTAATAGGTAGATTTTCCCACTTTCAAATTTGTTTTTCTACAATTCCCCACATCAGAAAAAAAAATTATGAAAAATACTGCGAACGGAGCTCAATATGGGCCCTCAGATGCAGCAATACTTAAAACTTTATCGTGCAAATTATTCGTTCTTGCAAGACCTTCCAGTCCAACCTCCGTGTCTCAATTTCTGTTTCAGTTCCTCAGTGCAAAGAAAAATGGCGGAATTTACGAACAGCTTTGGCTCGCAGTCTGAAGCTGAAGAAACTTACCAGCAACGAGCCCACGAACAGCTCTGCCGCGAAGCCAAAGAAGAACAAAGAGTACTACTTGAAAGAAGCCATGGGTTTCATCCTCCCTTTCTTACGCTCGAAAGGCCCCACGGACGGTCCAGATTCAGGTGGGACCGACGCCGCTTACGAGTACAGCAACGACGGGGAAGTCTATAACCCACATTGCAATGAACCCAACGACTACAGGACTCATTACGACCCCAGACACTTCGCCGACTGTTCGCCAGCCGAGTACTCTTCGTCATCCTCTGTCGCGGGTGTCTCGCGAAAGAGATCCTACGAACCCTCCGCCGACGAGGATTACTCCCAGTGCTACGAGATGACGCCCAACACGTCGAGGATCCCAACGCGAGGTGACGCGGAGGACTCGAGTAAGCTGCTCAGCGATTGCTTCGAGTTCATGCAGACCTCCATGATTCAGGACAGCAACCCTGATCTCCAGTTCCTGAAGAGCCTGCTGCCCGACATCTCCAAGATGAACGATCACCAGAAACGACAGTTCAAGAAGCGAACTCTGGACGTGATCGACTCGATCCTGTGTAACTCTTTCACGCAGATCGTCGACTCGACGTGATTCACCGTTCTCTGAGGAAAGCTCTGAAAGTTGGCTTTTGAAGAGGGTGCTCTGGATCTCATAACGCGCCGCATGGAGTAGAGAATAAATCCTCGTGTGGATCTGTTGATACTACAAATAGGTAGAGTACCTGTACGGCGAAAGCATGGATATCTGCCAAAATTATGATTGAAATCGTCTGTATTTGATGGAATTGCTATTGTTTCGTTTAATGGTCGCAAGGCAACAAGAGAATAGGGAAGTTTCTCTAATTTTCTGCGTCTATCAGTAACAAATTTTACCGGCATGCTTATGATTGGCAGTAACATATTTAAGATGACCCATATGTGATTCATTTCCGTTTTCCATAAGTCTTGTGGTATTGAATTCCCTTTAGTGTGAGCGTAATTATTTCAAGAGAGATATCCATTAAACTTTCACGTGTGACAGTTTCAATCATTTTCATCAATTTTTTTATATCTATGTTAAATTTAGATTCTTTTTAATTTAGAGCACTAATTCTCACTAGTTTGTGTTACCTACATATCGTTTTTAAAAATTGTTACGAAAAGATTATTTTAGGAACTATTATACATTTTGTATTGCCCCTAAATCAATATTGTTTCTTTTTTCCTAAAATAGACTCGCCATAAGCCTACAAAAGTTTCACTAGGCTTTGATTACTCATTTGAATTAACAAATATACTCAATCATTACAAAAATATTCTAAAAGGGCTTACCCCAGGCTCCTTTTAGATTCTTGTCGTGTCTTTTTATGACATTTACGAATACACGTTGTAATTCGAGAAGCCACAGATTCTAGTTTTTTCCTGCGTAAAACCAGACTTTCTCAATGTAATCAAGATACACCCGACTGTATTCTTAGTTGAGTCACACGAAATATAATTATGCCTTCAGTTTCGAACGTAGGCCATACCAGCTCCCACGTGGTCGATAGGTGGTATCACTTTCAAACGGCACGAATTTTCGAGGAAGAAAGCAAGAATAGACTTCACATAGCGTGGAACGGCAAATAGCTCGTCTTCAGTTTGCCTTCCGTTTTCAGAATAGGCAATACGAGCTCTCACGTGGTCGAATAGTGGTATCACTCTCAGACATACGATTACTTCAAGGAGAAAGCAGGATTGGACTTCACCAGATGTGGAGCGGTGACTTTAGCTCATTGTCAGTTTGCCTTCAGTTTTCAGTGTAGGCAATGTGCGCTCCCATGTGACCGAATAGTGGTATTGCCCTTAGAGGTCAAAATTACTGCTTAAAAATAGAACACCGAGCTTTTTTTGAAGCATGTCTCCCAACACTCGATGTTGTCTCGGTGTGTTCTTTGCCAGTTCGATCATTAGACATTTCGGCAAATTTTCATGGCGGTCCTCAGAAACTGAAAACGCGAATATTCGTAGTACCAAGGGCAGTACTGCCGTGCTAAGGAAAAACGCCGTAGAAACAACCGAGAGTTGCCAAATTTCCCCGCTTCAAATGTTAAATTTTGAGACAATTAATGAATAGTTTTATCTGAAATTTTCTAATAATTTAAATGACATTGCGAAGAAAATTTTCTGAAAAATTGGGAGGAAAATTTTCACAAGTTTTCCTGAAAACTCGCTTTTTACCAGAAGAAATGTGGCATCGCACGAAGGCTCATACGGCGTTCTTCCTTAGCACGGCAGAGTATCTTTGTTCTATAGGATTTTATGCTCAATAGTGCTCTGCGACTAATCTTTTCCTAAAGTAAGCGATGAATTCTCTCATCAATGACTGCAGAGGCCGAATCAGTAAAAATCTTCTCAACCAGTCAAGACGCGCTGTGGGCGTGGATACACCACGTTCGTTCGTCTCTATCCCTCTGTCCTCCCAGTGGCAGTACCAATGGTTGTCGGATTACTCGTCAGAAACGTCAGCATCAAAATAAATTCGATTGTAAAATAAATAACTTGACAACTGTGGTTGGGCATCACAAGTTCGTCAATCAACGTCTCGGGAATCATTAATGAATGAACTCACTAGCCCAACACGGAACGTGGAATGCGGACCGAATACCGTCTGCGCACACCACACATCTGCCCACACTCCGCCACGAAAAAAAGCTCCTGGATTTTCACGAATGAAAAATTATCGCCGAGCGGAGGTGAAACCTGAACGCGTTGGCGAAAATCTGCATGTCATTAGTTTCATCTGAGTTGCGACAAAGACGGAAAACGGACGGTGGCGGTTAATTAAGATGTACCGCATTTTATGACCTCCAGTGGCGTGGCGTGCTTTGCGATATATCGATTGTTATGCCATTTAAACCTATGGTAAAGAATCGATTATTAAGGTGTTCGCTGCGAACACACTGTTTATCGATACTTTTTCATAGGTTTAAATGGCCGATCAGTCGATATATCGCAAAGCACGCCACGCCACTGATGACCTCACCGGATGTGTCACGGTGAATTTCCCAGTTTTGAGAGGGACGATGTGTACTTCTGCTAAGTGGCATTGAAATTTGGAAAGCGGCTAAACACTTGCTGAAAATACTCGTGCATTTAAATGTCCCAGTGCGAATCCGATCGTCAGTTTTGTGCCAAAGGTGCGAATTCACATTCGACGACCACATACTGTCTGTTTTCATGGAGTTCTGAGGAAAAACAGCATATCAACCTTCAAATTGTGAAACCACATATATCCATAGTGTTGATTCAAAATGTCCTTTCCTATTTTATTTTTTTGAAGAAAATAAACAAGCCGACTTCGTAGATTGACATTCATACAGAATATTCTACTGTCGCAGAGCAAATAAATGAAAGGAGTTTTCGAGAAATTATATTGACTGGTTTTTTCAAAGAAAAAATATCGCAAATTGATATACGTGGTTTTGACTTCAGGTCATTGATATCGTTCCAAGGAAAAATAGGAACTGCATTAGGATTTCAATTACTATTTTTATAGAATTGCTTAAAGGTAGATTTTACCCACATTTTGTCGAAAGAGACGAGAGATATATTGACAAAGTAAAATTAAAGCTGAAGGCATACTTACTGCAAGTCTACAGACAAAAGTTCGTCAATGTTTAATAAAATGTTCAATTATTCCAGAGACTTAATGGCTCTGTGTAGGAAGGCGCGTTTTTACATGTGTCCCTACATTAATCCCCCTCAGGGCAAAGTTCGTATGAGAACATAAATCTAAGGGACCGAAGGAAGTCGAAGGACTTCCTTTTAATTCAAGTTATTTGAAGTTGTTTCTTAGTATAACGATGAGTTAGATGATATTAATATAAAAATATACTTTTAAATTCATTGACTTTCATTTTGATGGTATTTTACCTATTTTTGATGAATTTGTCATCCAACAATTTGGCAACTGAATTTCAGGGAGAAAAAGAGACTATAGAAATAAGAACAATGAACTTAGAGCTCCTAGAAGCTCGGCGACTTTTGTTCAAGTTGTAGAACGGTGAAATGATTACCAGTTCTTTTCGACTGGTCACGTTCCTTTTATTAAAAGTACACGACTTTTCTCGGCACAGTGATTCTGAAGAGGGTTGCCGTTGATTTTCAATAATCCTGCAGCTCCTTAGGCCTCCTTGTCATACACTTATCAAACACCTGAAAACACATGTAAAATGAAGATAGAATGTATATCACGGTGTTTTTAGGATTTTAAGCTCAAAATATTTTCAAGTCAATTACACTACTCGCAGATTTTCTAAGTTGAGTATCCATCGGTGTAATATTATTAGTCATAAAAACTTCCAAGATTTTTTCTTGGAGGGGGGGGGCACCTCATCAAAGAGGGTCTAGATGAGAACAGAAAAGTACCTCACCAAAGTACGACTGAAGGACTTCAGATGAGGGTCTGGAACACCTCATCATAGAACATTTTGAAAAAGTGGGTTGTTTAATGAGCAAGTTTAAGCTATTCTAACCAAAATTTCGATCAATATAAATTTTATTGATGAAAAATATGTTGCGTAATTACTTAGGAGAGGGTGGGGAGGGGGGAGTTAATTTCTGGGAAGGAAAAGTAGACCCTCCCAGTTCCCCCTAGTTCCGCCCATGACATCAGCTGAATTATCTTTGAAGATCCTAACAAAGTGTCACTGCTTGTCGAGGTGCGCGCGGCATGGGTGCGGAAAACGCGTATAAAAGCGGGAGGAACCGAGAAAAAAAACCGGGGAAAAAGAAGAGGAAAAAAAGGGTGAAACGAAGAAAAATCCGAGGAAACACGTCGTGGGATCGTGTTTCGGGGCTGGGCATGGAAAATGCAAAATTACCGGGGTCTCGGTGAAAATTCAACAATGGAGCGCGGATAATGGGAATTTCACGATGGACCGCCACAAAAGGAGCCTCGGATCGCCAGCACAGGTGTTCGAGCACTCTCGGTGTGCGCGCCTTTTACACCGCATTACTCGCGCGGTGTCAGATTTTCTGGAAACATCAACATCGTATTACAACCGATACCAGATCAAAATCGAGGTCTTAATATTTTCATGGAATGGGCAGCGATTGACTCCAAATTTTCACATTCATAGCTTTTGCGCATAAAAGCCACTTTTACAGCGTTCTTTGGCGCTCTGCGATACCCAGTCTCCAAAGTCCTCTATCTTCCCGAAGCCTTTCAGGGTGTTGGCACTCCCTCATCTCTTCTAAAGCTCCCTTTGCCCACCCTTTGTGTTTGTAGTTTTTGTATAACTTTCAAATAATGATTAGAGAAAAATAAAAAAATCGAGAAAACTGCATCTGAGGTCAATTCATAATAAAGGGCTTGTTCTAGTCAAATTTCCACGAGGTAGCTCTGATGTCTCTGTAGTCGTTTAACTATAGAGTCAAACTGGACAAGTACTTGCTCATACGCAAGAGAAATTGTCCTTAACAAAATTTCATCAATCTCCTCAAATTCTACCTACAATGCAGTAAGTTCTATACCAAATAGGACTAAAGCAAGGAAGAAAATCTCAATTAGGTAACTGCTCGTGCATGAGTGTGATGTTGTACGGCCTACCATCCTATTTAAAGGCGTCTCCTATGCAGACTCGCTATTTGGTGCTGTTTCGTATTCGAATTTTGGACAAATAGTGCCTTTGCCACCTTTGCCCAGAAATTATCCGTTTCAATGTCAACGCTTCTTCATCAGGAAATCAGCTCTCGGACAAGAGATGATTCTGTCAATTCTACACTCAAAGAGTTCTTCGCCGTAGGGTCGCCTTTACAAGTAACTTTCTTGGCCTTTTGGAACAGTGTTCGAAACTCACAGGCGCCAACGCTCCAAATGCGCCTAAAAAATCGGCCATGGCACCTAAAAATTGAAGGCTCTGCGTCAACGTGGCCCCTAAAAATTGCCCCCTTAAAATCTGAATTTTCATATTCGGTGATTATTCGAAATTTTCAGCACTACAAGTGAAAGCTTTCTCTATTTTTCCCGATTTCGTCCTTAGTGCTTTTGGCTTCCCCAAGTTACAGCTTCTTACAAGTTCTGTCACGAAAACATCTTGCATCTAACTTTTCATTAAATGCGCCGTAATATATAGGCAAAAAGTCAATTTGGCCCCTAAAAAATCTTCGATGGCTCCTAAAAATCGGGCTTGATGCGCCACCTGGCTCCTAAAACTCAAAG